TGGAATTGATCGATAGTAAACAATTTGGGACGGTGCCGGATAGTTCTACGACATATGCTCTTATAAGCATGCTACACACTTGGAATAAGGATACGGATGGTAACGGTTCAACAACTCGAGTTATGACGTTTGACTTCCGTAAAGCATTTGATTTAATAGACCACAATATTTTATCGGAGAAGTTAACAAAGTATAACTTACCGAGGTCTGTCATGCGTTGGATCTTAGACTTTCTGACTGACCGAGAACAGAGGGTAAAACTCAGCCAAGATTGCCATTCCGAATGGGGCAAGGTCCCAGCCGGCGTCCCCCAAGGCACAAAGCTCGGCCCATGGTTATTTTGTATTATGATTAATGATCTAAGCGTTAAGGACGTTAATGATCTATGGAAATATGTTGACGACTCATCCTTGTCGGAATCAGTTTGTAGAGATGGTCCAAGTAACTTACAAAAGTACGTAGATGAATTTAACCAGAAATCAAAAGCTAACGGTTTTCAGATAAACGAATCAAAATGCAAAGAGTTGTGTATAAGCTTTGCACCAAGCATACGTGAGTTCCAGCCAATTACTATTAATGGGAAAATTGTCGAACGTGTAACATCGGTAAAATTGCTGGGTCTAACCATCTCAAATAACTTGAAGTGGAATAGTCATATTTCACACGTTTGTAAAAAGGTCGCACCTCGTCTATATTTTTTAAGACAACTAAAACGAGCGAAATTACCAGCTAACGACCTAATCCTTTTCTACTCCACCTGTATTCGACCAGTCATCGAGTATGCGTGCCAAGCATTTCACGACTCATTACCCAAATACCTGTCTGATGATCTTGAAAGACTTCAGAAACGAGCTTTTCGAATAATATTCCCAGATCAACACTACAAACAAGCATTGAGGAACACGAACACCCCATCACTGTACGATAGAAGACAGGAATTAACAACAAAACTTTTTAAGGACGTAGTCAATAATCCTGAGCACAAATTAACGGATTTGTTACCGCCATTAAATAATGACAATAGTCATTTTTTGCGTAAAAATAGGAAATTTAACGTGCCACTTCATAAAACGAACAGATTTAGGAACAGTTTTATCACTTATAACTCTAATAAGTTTTTTGAATAACTTAGAAACTGTTTTTTACCGCGAATATGCTGGTTTTTAACCTAATCTAAATTAGCATTAGTGAGTGTTTTAGTAACAAATTATAAGTCTGCGCATACAGTATATATATATGTGAATGTGTATTTTTAAGTATTTAGTCTAATCTTATTCGTTTTCTTAAACAAATACATGTAAAATTAGTTTTAATATCCTTGTAAACCTAACATATTTCAGCAGTGGAATTAGTTATATTCTGGAGCTGTAAGTTTTAGTGTCAAATAAACTATCAAACTATCAAACTAAAGTACTTAAATAATTAATCAAAATAAAATATTCTTACCTGTGAGATCTGAATAACATTTTAAGACCTTTCCGATGCCTTTTCCGTCGTTTGGGATAGAAAAATGTGATAAATATATTGTAAATATGAACTGGAATTCAGTTAGCACTTTACAGCACAAAAAAATTTGAAACGACGCTATCCCGTGAACCTCTTCGCGCTCTGATACGTAACTAGGCACCAGGCCCCCAGGCAATGCGCGAACTATTGCTGCTTAACTTGCATGTCTGCATTTTCAATCAGTTTAATCACAGGCGGCCCAATCTCGCAAGGGTCAGTATAGACTTACAGTATAAATGTATATTATATTAATGTATATCATAGTAAAAATATGTCGTAAAATATAAATTTTAAAATGAAATTCACTTGCCTATTTGATAGTGTGTGTTCTCCTTTTATTCCTCCTTTGTTGGACTAATATTTTCCAAGACTTTGTACTCGATGTTACTATATACATGAAACATGATAAAGGCTAACGATTCCCGATCGTCGATACGACCGCACGGCACTTCGAATCGAAAATTCTCACACTCAAATCGCTTTATTCTCAAAAAAAATTCGCCAGCATGTACAACAAATGCCGTTCTTCGAAAATACAGAGGTATTTCGGCGAGATGTACAAGTTTTGGACCATATTTTAACAATGGAAATCAAAACCCATTTTATATTGAACTTACCCGGACCGAAAATTACTACGGCGAACGTCTGCGCAACCAGGCCTCCTTTACCGTTGGATTTACAGGGGGGAAGATGCCACTAATATATTCACGATAATATTTCGAATTAAAGTATCATATTCTACCACACTTTGCAACAAAGAGCCGCTGTATGTTAATTCTTCCTTAAATTTCTTCAATCTCCGTCGTTTAATTTTCTTTTCTTCGACAACATCTCGAGTTTTATACAGTATCCGATCGAAGGAGTTTTTATTTTGAATATCAAATTTCAAATAATGTAAACAGTCGCTACGCGGCCGCGATTGGCTGGCTGTTACCGGAAATATCTGCTTCCCCCCCTGTAAATCCAACGGTAAGGGAGGCCTGGTTGCGCAGACGTTTGCCGTAGTAATTTTCGGTCCGGGTAAGTTCAATATAAAATGGGTTTTGATTTCCATTGTTAAAATATGGTCCAAAACTTGTACATCTCGCCGAAATACCTCTGTATTTTCGAAGAACGGCATTTGTTGTACATGCTGGCGAATATTTTTTGAGAATAAAGCGATTTGAGTGTGAGAATTTTCGATTCGAAGTGCCGTGCCGTCGTATCGACGATCGGGAATCGTTAGCCTTTATCATGTTTCATGTATACTAGTAACATCGAGTACAAAGTCTCGGAAAATATTAGTCCAACAGAGGAGGAATAAAAGGAGAACACACACTATCAAATAGGCAAGTCAATTTCATTTTAACAGTTTATATTTTACGACATATTTTTACTATAATATACATTAATATAATATACATTTATACTATAAGTCTATACTGACCCTTGCGAGATTGGACCGCCTGTGGTTTAATATTGACTGTTAATTTTATCTATAATAAATTATCGAAAAGTCAAGAAAATTCTCTGCAATTATTAAATAAAACACGAGAAAAATTCAACTTTAGAGTGTAAATTAGAATGTATAGTATGGTATCAGGGGCGACGGAATGTAGGTGACAGTGGCGTAACGTTATATCAGGGGGCCCCCGGTTCAAAATTTTCGAAGGCCCCCCTAGTAGAAGTGCCAAAGGCACAAGTCGAGCGCCGTATATGCACGAGTTTTTAGGGGTCTAGGGCATGCTCACCCGGAAAATTTTTGAATCTAGACTCTCTGAAATACCATTTCCCAGACTTTGGGGAGAGATGTTACAGAATTCTGATGGTCAGAAAACGACATTATGACATATCAGAGGCCCTGGCCAATGCTTTTGCTTCACAGCCTGAGCTTGGGGGCCCCCATTTGGCCCATTGGGGTTGGGGGCCCCCGGGTTCGCCCGGTCCGAGCCCATAGTAGTTACGCCACTGGTAGGTGAAAGATATCTTCTTTCCTGCAGGAGGGGGGGGAAATAAAGCATTTTAATAAAAATAAACACAATATTTTTCTCAAATTTACCTCAGGGATGGATTCAGCATGATCTAGGAGGGGGATTGGGGGGCACCTCAAAAACAACTTTCTTTTTCAGACATTTTTCGACCTCAATGTTTCAGAATATTCCTTAATATTTAACAAGTTCCACAATCCCAGCATTCCTGGGCCCCCGAGCTGGGGGAAATTGGGATCCCTTTCTTGACTTTTCCTTGGGGGGCGGCGTTATACCCTCACACATCCCCTCCCCCAGTAAATCCATCCCTGATTTACGTTAACAAATTAATTAACAAAGATAAATACGATAGGGGAGAATTCTTATGTTTAATTAATCTTGTGCACAGCCGCAATTAACCGAGTTGCAAATTCTCTCCTAAGCATGCAAAAATACAGGGACCGCGGAACAGGGGGAGGCTGGGGCCATGGCCGTATAAAATCCAGTCTGCCTGAGTGAGCTATCGCCCGTGCTATCCTGCCTTCCCCCCCCCCCCCCCACACACACACACACACTTCAAAACAGTCTCCGCGGTCCCTGTAATACATATGCAGATTATTCTAGAAATAAGTATTATACAATTAAAATGAATCTATATACAAAATATGTTATATATGTCTTTAAACACAAGAATTGAATGCCATCCTATAGTTCCTGTAGTTAAATTTTAACAAATTTTAAATTTTCTTTCCGTTCAAGAAAATTTAAGAAATAATTTCTTATGTTAAGAATTTGATTTCTTGTTTTAAGAAACTATTTCTTAAAACAAGAAAACCACTATTTTCTTAAGAAAATGATTGATAAGAAGATGAAAAAATCGTAAGAAAACATATTCTTGTTTTAAGAAAACAAATATAATTCTTATGTTAAGAATTTGATTTCTTGTTTTAAGAAAGTATTTCTTAAAACAAGAAAATCATATTTTCTTAACAAAATGATTGATATGAAGATGAAAAAATCGTAGGAAAATACATTCTTGGTTTAAGAAAACAAATATAATCCAAGATATGTTAAATTTTTTTTTCTTATTTCAAGAAAAAATATCTTGCCAATGAAATATTTCTTATTTTAAGAATCTTTTTCTTATTAAGAAAATCCGTTTCTCGTTTTAAGAAATAATTTCTTAAATTAAGAATTTTTTTCTTAATAAGAAAATGATTTTTTGCTGTGTATTCATGACAGTCCGCCACAGGACTGTCATGAATAGGAAAATGACGTTAAAAGATTATACAACGACCCTCTTTATCCAGACAACCACGACAACGTGAAAATACTTTCAAGTTTTCACACGGGCCTAAACATCGCTGACAACTATGGAAGCATCCTTTCGGCATTATATCAGGTAAAGCACTATCAAAAGGCTTAGCTTACCGCACCAATTCTAGTGAAAGATTCATTTATAAGTAGAAATATTGTACTAAAAAATTATAATGCTTGTGATGTTACTCTGAGTGTATATCCACACTGGGCAAGCTTGAAAAATATGCCTGACCACGGTGGGAATCGAACCTACGCGACCTTTGGAATACTAGCCCAATGCTCTGCCAACTGAGCTACGCGGTCTGGTCGGTTCGAGATAACATTAAGTCGGTTCGAGATAATATAAGATAACATCGATATCGAAGGAACTAGATTCTGTTCCGAAATATCACATACTCGAACCGACCAGACCGCGTAGCTCAGTTGGCAGAGCATTGGGCTAGTATTCCAAAGGTCGTAGGTTCGATTCCCATCGTGGTCAGGCATATTTTTCAAGCTTGCCCGTTGTGGATATACACTCAGAGTAATGTCACAAGCATCATATTCACCTGAGTACATTACACCAACACAGAAAAAATCAAAACAATTATAAGCTTAGAAATTCTCAAACTGATCTGACCCTTCCAAAGCCAAACAGAGAATTTCTCAAAAGAAGCTTTAAATATAGCGGTGCTTATCTTTGGAATAACCTTCCGCTTGAAGCTAAGCAAGCTCAATCAATTTATATATTTAAAAGTTGTATAAACAAAATTTTTGATGTTGATAAGCGAGTCTGGATTCACGCTTAATCATATATTTATTCTGGGATGCACCATCGTGGTTTATACCGTAGCTTTTAATAATGTACATATTGTAGTAGACTTAATTTCCTTCCTTTTTATACTCTTTGTAATATTTTTTTATATCGACCCCCCTCGTGGAAATCAACTTTTGTAGTTGTCGGTGCTAGCGTCGCTAAATAAAGTGTGTATGTATGTATGTATATGCAAATATATAGAGTATGTCTATTTTGATATTAATATACCTATAGAACGAGATGACACAACGTATAAAAGACATGCAGGACAACAAGAGCGATAAGCATCGCATGTTGGCAAGACTTTGCGTCCGTAATACAGTGATAATTTCTTTGATATAGAATAAATTTGAAAGAATTTTCACAACCTCGCAAGCCATGCCCTCTACTTCCGCCACCCTCCCAAACACGCTCTAGCATGCAGAGACCGTGGCACAGGCGTTATGTTAAGAAGCATCTATGCTTGATCCTTGGAAGCATGCCCTGCACAAACTTATTTTACATTTTGTTTTATTAATTTCCGACACCAATGAAAGATATTAAATATATCATCATTTTCAATAAATTACAAATTACAAGCGCATGAGTTCGTATAATGTTCATATGACGTTATAGCAAGTTGCGCAACTAATTGCAATGAAGGACGATTATGCATGAGGACGCAGTACACTACAAGTAAGTTAGAATTATGTGTACAACTATAAATTTTATTGAAATTGATAAAATATAAACTAATGAAATATAAACTAATAAAATAATAGCCTATACAATATTACGAAAATTAAATATTAATTTAAATACAGCACAAGAATACATAAAATAAAAAGATTTGAGTTTAACGAGCTCAAACGGGGATTGAGTGCTCATTTATTTTGTACGAAAATAGATAATTTCGCGTTACCATAGAACCACAATGTTTTCTATCAGAAGTAGTTCATGTTGAGACATTTTTTGGGCTTCAAGTTACCCTGTTTGAGGAAGGACGAAGAGCACTGTCAGGCAATTATACCTTTATGTTGCATGTGACAACACATGTGAGGTGTTTTGGGGAGAAACGATGGAAGGCGGTAAACTAACGAAGATAATTTCTCTCAGAATGTCTACAGGATATCAAAAATGGAAGTAAGATAGAATTTCTTGGAAAGATGATATATTTCATACTCCCAGCAAATAACTGTTTGACCATTTGTTCCAATTAAACTGCACTCAAAACAATAATCTTTTGTGTTCATGTTTTCATTCTAGTAAAACGCCAAAGCAAAAGTCTAAGCCAATTTATGTGGAGGAAGATTAAAGGAAGATGCGAAAGCCGATTACCTCACTCTGGTTATGCAACTACCCAGTGGTGAATTTCTAAAATCTATTCCATCACGACAACTATTCTCTATTTTGTGACTTTCATGAATTGTTACTGATATAGACTTACCGATACACTACTAGCCATAGTCTATCAAGATATGATGGTCTGCATGCAAACTAAATGGAAGTAATTTGTTTCTCTGTGGCTTATTCCTACTGGGTTTTTTTTCGTGACGGGCGCCAGTATTTCGTGCTACCAATTTGGCATTTCTTTTCATTTTTACCAGTTCAAAAGAATTTGATAATTTTATAATTTTTCATTGATGGGCACAGATTATATATGTGGTTGAATTCCCTGTACAAGTGTATGATTTAAATACTTAGGCAGAGCGAGAGATGACACATTTTAAAAGCAAAAGTGTGCATTCTTGGTCATCAGCCAATAAAATACTTAATAACAATTACTGAATGAGGTTGAGCATGATATGACGAAGTATCAAGCCGGACGTTATCAACCGAAGCCGAAGGCTGAGGTTAATAACACGAGCTATAGTCTTAAATACTCTTATACTCTTAGTTTTGCCAAATAAGCCTATGGCTTCGGCTTTACCAATATAGTGTAACAATTTGTGTGAAAATAACTTATTATTATTATTATTATTATAAACTGAGGGCTTCATATTTCTTCATATCTCGCGGAAACTAAATTCAATAAATATTTCATTATATATTTAAAAGATCGATGAAAAACACATCAGCACTTGTATGTTCAATTCATCGAAATAATGACCAGATCTTTTCCCATATGCAGAAAATCTTTCCTTTCTTACATTATTCTTACTTTCCTTTCTTACAATATTCTATCATTACAATATTGTCTGACACAATATTGATCAGCTGGTTGCTCTAGCAAATTGTAACCGAGGCCACGCGAACAAATTGCAATTTTTACGTACAGTAACAGTATTAAACCATCAACTGCAAAATTCAAAAGTCCTTATATGATTTGGAAGCAAGTTTGTAAATAAAGCCCGATTGGCTGCTAGTACAAAACAAGCCAATCAAATGCTTGGCATCTGACATTTCGGCACAACCTCTCCACAAATTGTCAACACGCCCAATAATTGCAAATGTATGTAAAAATTGCAATTTGTTCGCGTTGGTTGCAATTTGCTAGAGCAATCGACCGATCAATATTGCAATATTGCGTGACAATATTGCAATGTTGCCGGCAATGGAACACCGGATTCGACTGTAAAATTTGTTTCCTTCAAACCTGCGAACACGGCCGAAGGCTCAACCACATTAAATTGTTTTGGTCGTGTGCGTTTCCACATTTCGTATTCGTATTTCCACAACATATAAATAATAATTGGTTTATAGTTTATTCTTATGTTTTAAAAATATTAATTACTGCAAGTTATTAATGTGTTTGTTATCATCATTAGCATTGCTATTATCGACATCATCATCACTGTCTACAGGTAACTTCTCGTACTCATTAACATGTTTTGAAAATTTAAGATAACACAGAAATATGGCGAGCATAATGGCAGTCATACCGGCATAAAGGAGAAGTGTGCTGCGTACCCCTATTGCGTGAAAAAGTAATCCAAAAAACGTTGCACCACAGTCCATTCCAAGAAAAAAGAACATCGAATCAAGTCCTGAAAATAGAAAAAGTTGTCGTCAGCTGGTCTTAATTGTATGCTGGCCAAACCTGAACGCAAATACGATTTTTTTCCGAACTGATGACGTCATACTTTTCCTGCGGCCATTATAAACAGCGATAAACTGCGATATTTATTAAAAATAAAGTTTCAAACTTGTTCATAGAAACTATACTGCAAGGTTCGTTTATTTTTCTTTAGGGAGGATCGATATAGTTTTCCTAGGTTTTATGCAGCAGATTTCAGGATGTTCATCTATTTCAATACTTCTTCTTTCAAATTATGTCAGTTTTGGCAACACACAGTTCGTTGCTATGGCAAAACACGCATAGGAAATTCACTCTAAAACAGCCTATTGCTCTGTGTAGTTGGAAAAGGAGCACAGTGTCCTATTCATGACTAACGCTAAATAAGCACAATAAAATGCTGGGTTTTTTAAACGCAAAGATGTCCTTTTCTTCGATAAAATTGTTTTGGCATTACAGATATTTTAAACTTTGGTATAATGAAAAACTTTCGCGTATAATACAGTGTGCAAAATTTCAACACAAGTTGGCAGCGGCTAAAATGAGATATAGCGTACTGTTTTTTTATAATAACGTCATATAAGGGCACGAAATGGCGTGAGCAAGTCCTGAGTAGGTCCTGTCTTTAAATTAAGTGAGTATTTAATTTAAGTGAGTAGGTCCCGTCTTTAAATTAACATTCCCGCGGACACGAATGGTCGTGTGGATTTGTTCATATAGCATAACGATTTGTATTCGCAATTCTTGTATAAAAGGGATTTTGTGTGGATTAATATATCGAGCCATCTTAAGTAAAAAAATCCTGCAAAACTTACCAAGTATTACACCCGAACTTGCTTTTGATCCTGCTTTAGAGAAATGCACCGTCAATGCACTTTTGGCCAGTCCATAACCTGCACTATGAAGCGTATCTACGGCGAGAACATACCAATATACTCGCGTGAAGGATAAAGCAAAGAACGCCGCTGTAAATAGTAGAAACGATATACATACAGTGTTTAATTCACCAATTCTCTCTATCACGTAACACGAGGTGAATATAAACGCCGCCAACAGTGGTCTTCGAATCAATGCGGCCGCGCCCATAACTAAAGGACTGGCCTGAAGTCCGTCCAAATACCAAAATTCCCAGAAAATCTGAAACGCAACACATGCTCCAAGATGAAATGACAATATATACATGTAAATATAGTGACCGTTAAGCACAACACTTTTAATTTCCATCCAGTTAAGGGTGCGATCAGTTTCGTATTTGAATTTGAAAAATGGGAGGGACAGCAACGACGAGAAGAAGAAAAATGATGCTATGAGAAAACTTGCAAAGTAGCCGTATCCATCGAGGCCGCATATTTTTATTCTTACTCTCCAAGCAATCATAGCAGAAGCGAGAATTAAAGTGGATGTTCCAACATGTCTCCACATGTAATACGCCCCATATCTCACCCTCTCATTACCGAGATAGGTTATCGTCGCCAGACTAGCCAGTGGGTAGGCCACGCCTGCCAGGAACGTTATTGATGATCTTGATACAATTATTACAAGGATCAAGCTGCTCATCCACGGAACATTTTGTCGTTGAACGAGGTTGGTGGAGTTTACTACAAAATGTTTCAAATTAATTTTTTGCATTAATAACAACTAAAAAAGTCGATTCCAAGCCCTCAGAAGCGAAGTTACAACCTCGTCCCCAGGGTCTTTCTCGTGGTGGTGCGCGAGCTGAGGAAGACCCTGGTAAAATACGATGAAATCTCCAAGATTCTTGGAGATTTATCGCATGCGCAGTAACTACAACGTTATGTTGCTGACTACAATTAGCGCTGGCGCTTACGATTTTCTTGCTTAAAAATATACATGTTTTGTTGAGTGTTTATGTATTTATTCTCAAAGTTTTAACAAATTTACGAAAAATACTTCAGATATAAGCTGTGAACACACATGTACACAAAACTATGCAACATTCATCATCATATTGTATCAATTTGTCGGAGTATGGCGCTCATATTTGTGACATCGTTTTGTTCGCTTTGGCAACCCTCGTATATATCAGATGTTATTCGGCTTCAAATGCGACTGAATAAACACTGATAGTGTTGCCTGGAATATGAAATGATATTGATTGATTGTTCTGTATATCAAGGTACGTACTGTACATTTATACTGAATTTATTTTCAGACGAGTTTCAAACTATTTCAGCCTTTAAAGAACAGTGAGATTACATCACTAATATACAGTCATACAGAAATACTCCATAATTTCTCATAAATTCTGATTATCGTTACAAGTAACAGTAGAAATGTTTCAAAATTTATTCTGATTTCTATGTAAAGCAGGGCAGCATGCTTTTATTTTGCTTTGGTGGTAGTCACCACTCACCAAGTCAAATGGGCCATTCCATTTAATACCCCCCCCCCCCATTGAGGTCTGGATATCCTATGGGGGAGAATTTTTCTAGAGTGTAGCTTAAAAGATTTCCTAAAAATTAGGTGTTTTAGTGATATCCAAAGGGGCAGGAACAATATCCTAAAGGGGTAGAAAGATATCCATGGGGGTTCTAAAAATGTATCCAATGAGGTTCCAAAATTTTTAAGGTATTATGAAGAGACCCCTCAATAGGGTGTGTTTGGGAGGGGCTATATTAGATGGAATGGCCCAGTGTGCTGCAACAACTTTTAAAATTTGTATATATGTTTTTAAGGCACAATATATGTAATGGAGTTTGATATGATGATCAGCACAACCTCAAGGTCTTGACTGAATGAACAACTTATCTGATATACTCCTAGTTCCAATACTTTGCTGTATATTATCACCAGCTCAGATGTCAGTTGGATCACTTTGAATGAACATTGGAGTGGCACAATAAAGTGTCTGTATTAGGGAGGAGTCTATCGGGACTGAAGTAAAAGGCACACATATAGTGTAGGTTTCAAATAAAGTTTGAACAATGTACAACTGAAAATAAAAATGTATTTAATTTGAAACACTTAAAGGAATTACAACATATTATATGATCGTCATATGTACATGATTATAGGTATATTCATTAGTTTTACTAGCTGATATTTATGACCATCCTGGGTGACAACATTTATTTTTCCCAATAGATTTTACTTGCATGATAGTAATAAGTTTAATAGTAACAGAGAAGTGTGATGGATATGTGAAAGTAATTATCATTGGAAATACAAATATTAAACTGTAATTTTGACCGTTGTAAATGTATTATTAAAGAAACAAAATACAAAAGTCAAACAAGGTTATTTAACATAATACAGTCATAATACTAAACTGGTTATTAAATAACTACTGAATAGAGGGATCATGAAAATCTTCTAAGATTACTATCATAGCTCTGTAACAGGGAAAGGTATATTGAGTTTCTTCACCTTGATGAACAAAATCATATAGCAGTAGAAAACTATAATGCCATCAACTAATTCCCATTTAAAAATTTTCATGTTGGTCACTGTGAAATATAATCTTGAGGCCATCTTAATGATTGTTTACTATCTGATTGATGACATGATTTAATATATATATTTCCATGGAATTCAAGTTGGCTTTTTCCCAAGTTCATGTAAAATATGGTTCACCTGTTAAAATAATAAAATGTTTATTAGTTGTTTTGTAACAGAACAGTACCTGCTTTAAAGAAAATATAGGAAAGAGAAAATCGAAATAATATGAAATCTTTCTGTATGTTAAAAACTGTGTTTCTGAAGAAGTCTTTCTGCATGTGTGAAATGAAGTCTTTCTGTATGTGTGAAACTGTGTTAGAAAATGTGATTTCCGAGACTCTGAGAAAATGCGAAAGCAACGTGTGAAAATAAATCGAATAAATTCAGTATAAATGTACAGTACATGCATACCTTGATATACAGAACAATCAATCAATATCATTTCATATTCCAGGCAACACTATCAGTGTTTATTCAGTCGCATTTGAAGCCGAATAGCATCTGATATATACGAGGGTTGCCAAAGCGAACAAAACGATGTCACAAATATGAGCGCCATACTCCGACAAATTGATACAATATGATGATGAATGTTGCATAGTTTTGTGTACATGTGTGTTCACATCTTATATCTGAAGTCTTTTTCGTACAATTTGTTAAAACTTTGAGAATAAGTACATAAACACTCAACAAAACATGTATATTTTTAAGCAAGAAAATCGTAAGCGCCAGCGCTAATTGTAGTCAGCAACATAACGTTGTCGTTACTGCGCATGCGATAAATCTCCAAGAATCTTGGAGATTTCATCGTATTTTACCAGGGTCTTCCTCAGCTCACGCGCCACCACGAGGAAGACCCTGGGGACGAGGTTGGCAAAGTTACTGAAAACAAGTCAATTCCAAAATATTCATAATCCCCGAGCCGACGGCGCGAAGCGCCGTGCGAGGGTACTAATTCCCCGCGGCTATTTACACCCGGGGAAGGGAAGCATTAGCGAAGTCTAAAGTTCATCAAATATCGCTGGCGTGGGTCACTGTGCGTGTTTCGGTGGGTGGTCATTCTCACTGATCTCATAATATAGCGGACTGTAATGAATAGCCAACACTGATTGGTCCAATTTAAAATTGGCATTATAACGGCTGCATGACGATTGACGAATGACGAATGACGACAGCGAAATTGATTTGATGATTTCTTGCAAATATA